TACTCTCTCTCACACACACACACACACACACACACACACACACACACACACACACACACACACACACACACACTTACATTAAATCTGAAGATAGCTCTTCTGCCTCTAAAGCATGTCTGTTGTGGATGGGAGAGTCCTTTAAAATGATGAATGACTGGAGATACAGGCCTGAAATTTAAAGTGATGGAAGATAATCCAGTCCCCCTTGATTAAGAACTGCTAATCAGTGCCCATGTATTTTTTTGCCACAGACATGATCCAATGGCGAGTGGGCCTATAGCTCCAGCTAAGAAGTGTCTAATGGTATAAATATCAGATCCAGTAGTATTACCACGTTTCTCATAGCCAGGGGCGGCTCTATGTATTTTGCCGCCCCAAGCACGGCAGCGAGGCAGCCTTCGGCGGCATGCCTGCGGGAGGTCTGCCAGTCCCGTGCCTTCGGCATACCCGCTGCCGAATTGCCGCCAAAGCCGCAGGACTGGCAGACCTCCCGCAGGCACATGCCGCCGAAGGCAGCCTGACTGCCGCCCTCACGGAGACCGGCAGGCCCTCCCCCCCCCCGTGGCTTGCCGCTCCAGGCACGCGCTTGGTGCGCTGGTGCCTGGAGCCGCCCCTGCCCATAGCCTTTCAAACTAGAACTACTAACAGTTATAGTATACAACTAATTATATATTATTTCACAGTGTTTGAAGAAATCTTTCAACAATTTACCAAAAGCAATGTGAGAAGACAGTTGTCTACACTTAAACACTGCAGCTGTAGCACTTCGATAAAGATGCTACCTACGCCGACAGGAGGGTTTCTCCAAGAGGTGGCAGCTAGGTCAATGGGAGAATTCTCCCACAGGCCTAGCACTGTCTACACCAGGGGTTAGGTTGGTTTAACTGCATGTCAGGGCTGTGGATTTTTCACACCCCTAAGCAACATAGTTATACTGCCCTAATTTCAAAGTGTAGACCAGGCCTAAGGCTGGAGGAGGGAGGGAAAGGAGTGGGGGGAGAGAGGGCAAAGAAACAGCTACAGTTTAATGCTGGCTGGCAGCTCTGAAAACAGAGCATTCTACCAAATCAAGTTTGAAAGACAGAGATAAACCAGGTACAGGAGGAATTAAGTGCAAACAGATTTAATGCAGTTGTAAGGCAGCAAGAAGTTCGTGCTCGTGATTTTGTTTAAGCTATTCCCTGTTAAAGCTTGCCTAACCCCCATTCTCCCGTAAGGCAAAGTCATCCCAAAGTTTTGCTGATAATACGGGGAATCTAACACATTAACAAATCTCTTTATCTTGTCACTAACTTTTATCAGACATAAATTGGTCAAGTACCCACATTACAGACCCAGAGTTCACATAGGAGGGATTGGTTTCTTGCCCCATTAGAGCAGGCTTCCCACACTGCCCCCAGGGAGGTTAACGTAGTTTTTGGCAGGACCCATGTAAAAGATTGTTGCTATTGGAGTTTTCCTTGAATCTTCTAAGATGGACACCTGATGAGGGAAAAATCAAGCCACATTTGTGTCACTTTGGAGAGGACTACAGAGAAAGAGGAAATCTATTTTCAGTGTTGAGTTTATTTTTAGATTGCTGAAATCTATGCATAATTTGGGATTTCATCCAATCTGTGATGGCTTTAGGTAATGCAGCCATAATAATTTGAACATTTATAGCACTTTTCAGGGGATCTCAAAGTTTTAGAAACACTAATGAAGCCTCACAAAACTCCTGAGAGAAGGGAAGATATTTTAATTCTACTTCTAAAGATAGGGAAACTGAGGCACAGATGAATTAACGGAATTTGCCCAAGGCCACATAAACGGTTAATAGCAGAGCCTTGATAGTCATTCTGCTCCATACCACTGGACAACACTATACTTTAGCATGAGCAAAAAATTGCTCATCAATGTTTTTTAAAAGCAATTCCCTGTTAAAGCTTACCTAACCAAACTTTTTCCAGTAAGGCTGTGAAGAAGGGCCAGAGTTTTGCTATTAATAAGGAGAATCTAACACTAACAAATCTCTTTATATCGTCATTAGCTTTTATCAGACAGAAATTGCATGCGTAGCTGCATAACAGTGACATCTCCTGGAAACAAACAAACAAAACAAGACTAGGAAGAATAATCAGTTTAGTTTATCAGTTGCTTCTCATGCATTTAAAACAACTAGCTTGTCTGGACTGCAGGAACCTTGAGCAAATGTGAAGCATATTTGTCTTCGTTTTTTGCTTCACAATGAAAAGTACAAGATTTTCCTCCTAGATGCCTTCTTTAAAAAGCAAACCAAAACATTATTTCACTGTGCAACATCAATCTAAAAGCTTCTTTGTTCTTGAAATAAGCTTTAACACAATCTGTTAAATGAGGAGGGTCAAGAAGCAACCTTTGCTGTTAGAAGCTTTTGGATCAAGTCCAGCCTGCCCTGCTTATCTGGTTGTCAGTCCAAACTACTTCAGTCCACACTACTTCAGGATTATTTATTTGCTTGCTTGGTTTCCAATTTCTGGAGCCAGCCAGGGTGATTCCAGACAAGGAAAGCAGCTGTTTAAGAAATTTTTTTTGATCATCTCCATTCTACACTTTGGCCTGAAACTCAGCTGGGCTTTTTGGGGATTGTTGCCAATAACATCTGTACTTATTTGCAGCAGCACCTATTTGTTACTTCCACTTGGATATCCACCAAAGCTGGTGGAAAGGTTTTAGGCCTTATTCCAAAGGAGGAGACTTGTAATGTAACAACAACCTACTGGAACAGCATAGAAGGGTCAGCTTTAGTATATCGTCCCTTCCTGGGATAGCACCTAAACCTTTAGCATTCTGGCTTGAAGTTGGTGTCAGTGTTATGAACTGGGACCACGGCGGCACATCTGGAAATACTTACCCGTCCTTCACTCCTTCTCTGTTTGTTAAAAACTCAGTTTTCAGTATCAGACCCAAAGTTAGTGAGGGTTGCTTAAGGAAAGTCAAACAAGTTGTGACATTCAGAGCCCTGACAATCTGCTATAAACTATTTGCTAAAAATAGGTAAGAAAAAATAATACTGAGTCTAAAGAAGTGATTTTATTTGACAATTGAGCCTGAAAAACCTGAGGAGTAGGAGGAACCATTAACAACCTACAAAGGTTCTCCTAAAGCGGGATGTTTACCCAGAGACACCGGAGAGGAGAATGGGTGTATGGAGATCCTTTGAAAAAGATCCAGTGTCAGAGGTAACTCCTACAAAACACCGAATTGGTTGTGATGTGCAAGGTCTGTTTATTCAAGAGCCCTTTACATAGACTCAGAAGAATTCTTTGAAATGTATGAAAAGCCCATTGCACTGTTCAATATACACCTGTGTGAAATTAGGAGGCCATGAATTAAAGATTTCATGAGGATAATGAATTTAAAGCAAAGACTGGAATTTGAGAATGCAAGGTGCTGAGTCTTGAGCTAACAGAAGCAGCAAAGTGCACAATGCTAATCAAGACTTAACACCTTGAGCTGACCAAGACATTATAAATAGGGGTGAGGGGCAAAAATGATCATTGCTCACACATGGAGACAGGGGCAATTAATGGAAGCTCACAGAGGGACTGACATGATGCTAGGGCATGACAAAAAAAGGATGAAATCATGCACTGTCAGTCTGAGTAGAGGGCATGAAAGTTATTCCTGCTTGATTGTAACTAAATAGTCAGACCTAGTTAGTTAAGTTTACTGCATCGTTTGTCTAACTCTAGGTTATAGGTGATGTTGGAGATTAGCACAGCGAGGCACTTCTGAGAGAAGGCAGGCAGAAGAAAAGCAGAAGTGTTAGCCTGAGCTACTGAGGGTGCCAGAAGTGGGTTTCATGTCAGCCTCATCAGGCCCAATGTAATCTCACTTACCATCCAGATCTGTTTTCATTTTCCCTGGCTTCCTCACCATTTGTTATTCCCAACCTTTTTGCCTTTTAAGGCTCCTTATCTCGTTTCCCCCACTCTCTGATTTGTACTACTCTCTCTACCAGCAACACTCTGCTATATATACTGCCTTAAGTCACTAAACATGTTGAAAAAACAGGTAGAAAGGCGAGGATCTCAAACTCAGTGAGGTCACTTCAAGAAGAGGACAAGTGATAGTGTCAAAAGCAGCAAAGAAGATTGAGGAGGATGGGGATGATGTAGACGACCTCAGATTTGCTGATGAAGAGGTCACTGGAGATCTTATTCGGACAGTATACATATGTATTTACATACCTGTGCCTACAATTCTACCCACTTTTATGAACACACCTAACTATTTATTTCTCCTGAGTATAACTCCATCAAAAGCATGGAGTCTTCTGAACATTTATTTCCTTGGCTGGCCAAAAAACCCGAGTCTTATTGTCAGTGTTTTATATACTTACACAAACAGAGGGGGTTTGGTATGCGAGTCTCACTGCATATTTATAACTTCTGCCCTGGTTGCTGTAATTCCCTCTCAAACAGATATACACTTCAGAGCAGGTTCCTACCGCTGTGATGACAAGCATTCAGCAGGCACTGTAATTGCACAGTTAAAATAGCTCATTTTCTTACTGACAAGCCCTAGTTAAAGAGGCGTTAGGAGGCAGCCTGGATGTCTGAAGAGAAATAAATCAGAGCACAGAGAAAAAGGCAAGAGAAGGACCAGTGTCTTTCACCCTCAACCCCCTTTTCCACACTGGTTAATAAGTTATTGAAAAAGATGGTGGGCTGCCACTCTGCCCAGGATATTGGACAGGAAATAGAAATGGCTTGGATTACTATTTATTTTTAAATACTTCAGATTTTTCTATGTGAGTTCTTGAAGACCTGTGGCACAGCAGCGGTAAAGCCCATACTTCTGGACATGACAGAGCATGTGA